GCCTGGCCCTCCCACGGCGCCGGGTCGGATCAGGGGAGCACAGGTTCAAACCCCACTGCAGTCAGCATGTCGTTGTGTCCCTGAGACACTTCACCCCAAATTGCTCCTGTGGGGGTTGTCCACAGTATTGAGTATGTAAGTCGCTTTGGATAAAAGCGTCTAACAAGTAACATGTAATGTATTAAAATACAGGACAATTAAAGATATACTACAAGGATGATAGAAAGGGACAGTGACACTAAAACAACATGATTCCAACAAACGTATCTTGTATCCATCTTGTTATATACTGAATGTTCACATTATCATTATTGTTATATGGACTGTTATATTACATTACATTACATTACATTACATTACATGTCACTTGTTAGACGCTTTTATCCAAAGCGACTTACATACTCAATACTGTGGGCAATCACTTGCGATCACTTGCGATTAATAAACAAATACAGTATGATTACACCAACTTAGTTGAATACACGATTCTGATTGGTCAATTTGGACATTTCAGAGGGTGTTAATACTCGCTAACACACCGCTACTCAGGATTACAAGACCGTTGCTAAGGAGGATCAAGGGACTGCATCATATCATTCAGCTGTGGGCAACAAACATTGACTTTTGGACAGTTACGGAAAACCTCGATCAGTACTGCCGTCATTCTTAGTTATGTTGCTGTCACAGCAGTTCTAGCCATTGGTACGCCGTGGAAGCAACTATTATTTATTGACCAATTAGGAAAAACATTTGTAATGCGCCCTTTACAACATGTACTTTAAAGGAAACCTATCATGCTATATTTAAATGATATATTGTAGGGCCATACCTATATAAGGTATATTTATACGTTTCTGTTTTCAAAATACCAAACAGATCATGCATTTTAGCCATGCCTCATTTCGCTCTATGTGCTGTTTGCTGTCTATGGGTCTGATTCTGCTGACCACGCCCCCCTGCAGGAGAGGGGAAACGTGCTCTGATCAGCTGCTGGGCTGTCAGAAGAGGGGGAGAAAAAGAGATCTCCGTCCTCCGTGTTTTATTATATAGAGTCGTTATTCATTTGTTTTAAAGCTCAATAAATAACAAAGAAGACCTTTGACCGGCACTTTTCTAATTTTGTCCGGAAGATTTCAACTTTAACGGACATCTTGACCGGCGAAACAAACTGAAACTGAAACTCTGCCGCACGGTCCCCTCGTTCCTTGGAAGAGGCGGAGAGGTGGGTGTTTGTCATCTGCTGGTGGACTAACCGGAGAGAATTACAGTGCTTGCCTCGACGGGGAGGGATTGCATTGAATTAAAGCAGCAGGAGCAAACGCTTGCCTCGGGGAGGGAGACAAAAAGCCACAGCGGAGAATAAACAGAAGGGTAACCATGGTAACCAAGTCTTCTTCGCTGCTTTTGTGGCAGACTACAGCGCCACTTACAGGCCTGGCATATGTACTACAGCGTCTCCAGCGCTTTCGAGCGGCAATGGCCGGCCGTGGCCCAACCCCACATTCCCCTGATAGGTGGAGAGTTGGCCCAATAGCCGTAGCGCCACTGTCCTGACGTCAGGACGGTGTTCAAATCTGGATCAGTTTTTATCAGATCCGTTGCAGCCCCTTTTTTAGAGATTTGGGTATGGAGGAAAATAGAGAGGGTTGTGTTTTCTGACACTTGGTGAGTTCCCTGGAACACCGGCAGGGGCGGACTGGCCATCGGGACGTTCGGGACGAATCCCGATGGGCCGGTACTGAAGTGGGCCGGTCGGACGATGTGGGCCGCTCGGATAAGTCACTAGCACCCGTCCGTCCGTCCGTCCGTCGACAATTTCCTCGCGGTATTTACTTGCGGCACCGAGGTGGGCCGCTCGGATAACTCACTAGCATTTATTTTACTGTAATCTTAATAAAACAGGGAATAATTGTACCTACTACATTTCTCTTTTACGTATTTGACTGAAAGTTGTGCTCATAATATATGTCAGGCAAATAAATCCAGAAAAACATTTAAAAATTGGCTCAAATCTAAGTGAAGAACAAGAACAAGTATAGATAATCTAAGCTTGTATATCAGAAATATTTCAACTGGAAGCAGCTGGCTCTTACAAAGACCTGTAGCCAGTCATTGTGTGGTTTGTCCACACGCTGTGACTCCAGGCTGGCCTGATTTCAGTCTTGGTCAGTAGAGCACATTACAGTTGTTGGTTTAGGTTTAGGAAATGACAATTCCAAAACCCCACAGAGGAAGGTGGTCAGAGCCTTTAAAGGCCGCTACACACCAAACTGACACCAAAGAACACGTCCCGACGGACCCGACTGTTGTGTCGCCTCACGTCTCCTGCGTCTTGGCCAACAGTCGCACTGGAACACACCGCAAAGACTTCAGCCGACGGCCAAGTAGCACGTACGCACTGGGCATGCGTGAGTCACAATAACTCTCCTTACCAGCAGGCGGCGGTAGTGTGTATTCGTCATTCAAAAGAGGCAACCAGAAGACAGACTGCGTGATATACAAACAACAAATAGCTACATGCTACAGCTCGAGCCAAGCAGCACAGGGATGAACTATGCCAATATTTTAACAGTATCGGTGCAGTGCCTTTTCAGTGGGGAAAGATATAGCAAATATGTGTGCCTATCCTGCTATTTGTGTTTATTCTTTTAATCACACAGCGTTAAGATGAAATAAAAATGTGCCTACATAACTGTCAGTTGCAGCCGTAGCATTATTATTGGTTTAACTACTAACAGTATATTTTTAAAACATTTTAAAATGACCATCTTGAACAGCTACAACATTAAAATACTTCTAGGCAGATTGTGGACAGTAACAAAGTACATTTACTTAAGTACTGTACTGCTCCACTCCCATTCAGGCAAATAGTGTTTCGCTAAGCTGAACAGCCAATCAGAATGATTTATTTTGTCGACGGCCTTTTACCGACAGCCTCCCGATTCAACATGTTGAATCGGCAGCGGAAGGTGTCGGCATGCAGGGCCGAAAATACACGACGGTGCGGGACACACCAATCTGAGTAGGGCGACACGACGCTCATCGACGGCCAGACATCTATCGATGGCCGAAATCGGCTTGGTGTGTAGCGGCCTTGTGGTGTGGAGATCATGAGGTTGACCCACAGCGCGTGAACACATCCTTATAGCTTGTCTGTCTTGTCTGTCTTGTCTTGTCTTGCACTGTCTGCAGTGCATGCTCATCGCACTCAAAGTCAGGCCTATAATATAGCTCATTATTAACAGGGCACCTAGTACTTCAGCAAAGGGCATGCGTACATTTTATGATGGCTCTGTTGAAAGGATAGTCATGACACCCAATCATCTGAAAGGTATTGTGTGCAAGGATTTTGTATTCAACACTGTAGTTAAAAAAGTTGTGGATAAAGGTGTTTGCTTGCTCACTATAAACTCAACTGCCTGCAATAAAACAACCACAACACAAAGTATGAGAGGTTACCTAGATTAGGAAGTTGCCCCATATTTGGAGGCGTGTGGAACAGTGGTCTAGTGCGTATGTGTTCGGATCAGGGGGGCACAGGTTCAAACCCCACTGCAATCAGCATGTCGTTGTGTCCCTGAGACACTTCAGCCCAAATTGCTCCTGTGGTGATTGCCCACAGTATTGAGTATGTAAGTCGCTTTGGATAAAAGCGTCTAACAAGTGACATGTCATGTAATGTAATGTAATAATAATATTTGTTACACAGCATATCTTAGCATAAGGCTACGCAAGTTGGATTTTCATCATTCAATAATATTTCAAGTTAGTTCTTAATTGTGTGTGAACATTTGGCAGTCCTATTGGTCAGTGTACAGACTGCACAATCAGAAACAGCCAACATCTTTATATATACACAGTATCCAGTGCAATTAGCTCACAGCATTGAATTTCGTCAGGGAAAAACTGTATATATTTTTATGTTTTTGACAGTAATGAAATATTGTGGCGAAACAAATATAAAAATAACCAAAATATTAGTGTCATCTAGAACTTTAATGGGTTAGCCCGGGTTCCTGACTGGGCAGGTTCTCTCTGGTGTCCACCACCTGAAAGCTAGGCTTATGAGAATAATTCAAACAGGTTTGACAATATAAAATCAGTTGCTGTCAAATTATCCATCAAGATAATTCATCATTATTTGTGTTGCTGTTGACATTCCTCCTGCTAAAACATGCACTACAGGAACACATTTCTCCTACATTTGTTTTGTTCTTCTTGTGTAACATAAAAACTGCTTTTTGTCGAGCAACCGTGTGTTGCAGAATACCAATAAAATGTCCCTGAACTGTTGAGTTGCTGCTGTCGTTATGTGGTGAGGCTTGATTAAACAGAGCACTGCTTTATCTAACCTGTTGTGATACAACCTAGCTAATGTAAAATATTGTAATATTGCTTTATACTTCAATTTCATTGTAATATTTAAAAAACTATGGAAAAATAACAGAAACATTTTAACCAAAACTTAACTCATTTTTGTTTAATGTACCAATCTGGTGAACCCTGATCAACAATAAGAGGATAGACGATTGTGTGCTCTTGTTCTCATGGTGGGAGAAGAGAGACATCACACCGCTGGGATCACAGCTCTCCAACACAGCCCAAACTTCTCTCTCTGGCTGGAGTCTGGCTGTAAGTTTAGAGAGAGCTTTATTTGATAAACAGCTGCGTTTTCTACGAGTAAACATATCAACAGTTTAAGACGAGCGAGGTGGATGATGCCGGAGCGCTGGCCTACGTGTCGGCTGAGCCCCGACAGCCCGTCCCAATGAACACCTGTTTATGATAATCCATCTGTTTCTGGTTTATCACAGGTTCAAAATGAATCTATTATTAAACGCTAATTAAGACATAGTAGGCTAGTACAGAACCAGGTATGTTGAAGTTTAATACTATGAAGAAAATGACACTGCTTTGAATGACTTTTTACTTCTGACAAACCCTACAATATGACATGAAAGACAGCAGCTTGGTGTATTGGTTGTGCTTTAATGACTCACCAAGAAGAGCTCCAAACAGGTTGCTTTTGAAGATCCCCATGACTCTCTGGATGGCAGTTTTGAGCTGCTGCTCCTCCGGCCTCCTCAGTTTAGTGCAGTACTCCTCCAACAGCCCGAGGGCCCGCGCTGTGTCTGCAACACAGAGGGCACACAACACACGCTTTGCTTTGTTTTTTCAGTCTAAAAATATACATTTACACTAAAATAAACATTAAAACTGTATATAAAAAAACATAGACCATATAAAAATACATCAGCTACCCCTAAAGGCCAGCACTATGTGATACATCAGATATTGAGGGTGCGACTGTGAGGTAGAGTGGTCCTCCTCCAGGCAGAAGGCCGGTGATTCGATCCCCTGCTGTCAACATTTCAATGCTTAAACTCAAGTAACTCCCACTGACCAACACTGTGTGAGAGTGTGTGAATGTTAGTCTCTCTGAGCAGGTGCACCTTGTAGGGCAGCCCCTGCCTCTGTGTGGATCCGTGTGAGCGGGTGAATGCTGCCTTGTGTTCGAAAAGCGCTTTAAGGGGTTGCGTAGACTGGAAAAGAGTTATATGCATGCAGTCCATTTACCACTTTCAAAAGCATGGGCCTGAAGGTGCTGCTATAACTGCCTCTACTCTTGTGCTTTATGCTCTCCACTAGATTTTGGAACCTGGCTGCAGAGCTTTGCTCCCATTCAGCCAGAAGAGGTCCAACGTTTAAGTGTTATGTGATAAAATCTCTATGCAGGCAAGTTCTTCCACAGAAAACTACAACAACAAAAAACTACTGCCTGCACTATTTGTGCAGGCAGCATTGTCGTGTTAAAACAGGAAAGGGACTAACAAAAAATTATGAACGAATATTGATGAGGTGACATCTACAATGTTCATATGTAGAACATGGTCTGGTGAAAGCTTGATAGGCTACAGCTCATTACCTGTGGCACAGTAACTCACCTTTTTTTCTAATAGGCATGGCTACCTCCCTGTAAACTTGACTCTCACTAAGGCTTCCAGTTCAGCCTTCAGTTCATGGTCTTCTTTTTTTCTTGGTGGGATAACATAAATGGGGATGGTTTAAAAAAAAGAGTTCTCCCCAAGCACTGTAGAAGAGGATCTGTGTCAAATGGTGAAAATATGAATTCCACAAATTTGAGCTCAAGGAGTCCCGTCTCTGATGACAACACAGCAGTGATCTACAGGAGGAGAGATACGGCCCCCTGTAACACAAGGCAAGGGTCCTCGGTGTGAGAATACTTTGGAACGTAATGTTGTGTAAGACTTATGTCAGTGTTCACATCACACAAAATAACTTCCTTTGGTTGAAGAGAAGGCAGATCCCAGCCATGCCTTGTCATAAATGATTCCCTGCTGGTCCAAACATCCTCCGGATAGACGGGTAAGGGGACACACAGACCTCGGGACAGACGGGTGGAGTCCTTACAGACAGGTGCAGAGGGTGTAGGAGACCTGGTTCAGAGGAGCTGTCAGGTCCACACGCAGCCGGAGGGGGACAGTCCTGGCTCGGTTCTGTCTGAAGAGCTGCTCCATTTACTGTATCAACATTATCCGGTCTGACAGTGCATACCTGGAGTCTCCTTTACCTGCCCACAAGACAAAAGACAGGGTAAAGCGTCCTTCACACTCAAATTAATGTTTAAAAAGAATCCCTCGCCTCACGGTTCCTTTGGTAAAAAAAAATGCCGGCTGACGTCACATCAGAGTTTCTGTCTGGAGGTTCTGACTTCTGGACGGGCATGCGTGTGCCCCCCATGAAGCGAATAACGACAATGGATGAAATGTATCAAATCCTCTCGCGCTGCATGTTAACGCTGCCTCTACGGATTCATAAACAGCGTGATGTTCATTAGTTAGCTAGCATTCATGCTAAATCACCATCCAGCGGCGGTGCCGAATCAGATGCTTCCCCGGTGCGAGGCTGGCTGTGGGAGAATACCTGCCTGTCAACTGTGGAAGAAAACGCATGGCTCTCAAATAACTCCATGTATATTCATATTCCGGAAAATTGTGAGCATGCATTCGCTGGATACTTCCTCTCATGTGAAACAGCACTGTCCTAGCGCTGCCACATATCTTTATTCTTTAAGCAGGTACTGTAGTGCTAGCCTTATGGACTGACAGCATCACCAACAGATTTTAGTGCCATCAACAAGCTAGCCACAAAAAGAAACGGGACTTCCGCTTAAGAGTTTCACAATAAAACGTTTCCCTTTTTTTGTAGCCTTGAGACAGAATTGCACAACAGCCTTTGTTATCAGCCCTACATGAAGCCTATGTGTTTGATGAATGTGCAACAGTGGCGAGCCGTGACTTTTACCTAGGCCCTCTGACCCCCACCCCTTCCCTCGGAAAAAAAAAATAGTTATTAACATGGACGCGGGAAGGGGGGGTACTGAGGGGGCTGCAGCACCCCATCTGTTGGCGGAGAGTTGTAACTGCAACGCCAAAAAGTTCACTAAACAAATCAATACAAACGTTTTATTTTGAGTTACTATTTTTGAGTTAGCATTTTAGTGTAAGCAGTCTATAAAGAGCTTCACTATATAAGAGAAATTGATAATGCAGTGTGCTTCTTCTGTTGCTCTGCTATAGAAAAGAAGCTCGTCAGTGCAGACAAGATCAGGGATGGGAGTTTTGTGAAAGCAGGGTTTAACAACTGGCGAAAGGCAGGGGAAACATTTAGGGAGCATGAGAAGTCCCATCAACACACAGGCCGTCAACAAACTGGCAGCATTAAAACGAACACCGATGAATGCGCTGCTCTCACAAGCTGTTGCTAAAGACCAAATGACTGTATTTAATATGACGTTATTATACAGGGCCACCCAGTGTTCGAAATAGGGGGAGCCAGGGGGAGCTTGGCTCCCCTAAAGAGGGGGGGAGCTCCCCTGAAGGCCGATTTTGAGATAAATAGGGGAAAAAATCGTGCATATTTGTGTCACACAGATTAGAAATGTTGAGTTTCTGTAAATAAAAGTTCTTGAAATAAATAATAGTCATTGTTCATTACAGTTTCTGAATATTTGTTTTATATTTGTGAATATTTCTGGGTGTTGCCATCTGTACGTGGCGGCCAGAGATGGGGTCGTTACTAAAAAAAAGTAATATATTACATATTACATATTACTTAAAAAAAAAGTAATATATTACACTACTTCGTTACTCTCTACATAAAGTAACTCGTTACTTTACTCGTTACTTTACTCGTTACTTTACTCGCAGGGCCGGCCCGCCCCTCCGTACAGGCAGATCACGCAGACTGCTAAAGTTTCAAATGTTCTCTTTAGTTCAGTTTCCATTGTCGCATAAGACTGATCCAGATAGCTCTGACTATGGCTGTCCTCTGTCTCCTGCTATCTGTATTTTGCGCAGTATATCTCTGAACGATGCGATGGTGATTCCACTGTGCAAATGGGCAACATTACCTCTACTATGAAGGATGCTACAAGCCTGTCCATCTCTGCTTTGGTTACCGGTCCTCCAAATTCTCATTTGTGCTGCTTCGATCGGCGGTGGCGCACTCACAACATCCTCACTCTGGGTTCGGGGGTCCTTAGCTATTAGCTTCACCTTAGCATGTGTTCTTTGCAGGTGTTTGTTGAGGTTTGACGTGGTGTTTACAGCAGTGGATAACAGCTTCTGGCCTGGACACAGTTTGCACCTCACCGTCACATTCCTGTCTATTCTTCGGACGAACTCAAAATAATGGGCATACCTCCACCCCTCGAAAGTTATCGCTGACTCTGCCATGTTTATGCAGCACTGCATGTGGAGATGTGGACGCGCAAGTCGCGCATATTACGTACATATAAACCTGCGGCGGAAACCCCTCTTGTCTGTCAGTGTGATTATGACTGATTTTATAAAAGTAACGAAGTAACGCGTGTCGGGGCAATGTTAGTAACTGTAGTGTGATTACTGAATTATAAAAGTAACGCGTTACACTACTCCGTTACCGACAAGCGTAATATTATTACGCGTTACTTTGTAACGCGTAACGCGTTACACCCAACTCTGGTGGCGGCGCTGGATTCTTCACGCTACTTACGTTGCTATGGTTACGGCGGCGATGCCGGCGGCGTATTTGAAATGTTCATATTGATATTTTTTTAACTCTGGCTTTGTAATAAAATATATGGCGAAACGATAACAGCCAAGCCTCACAGCTTTTGGATTCACAAGCAAAGAAGCGAAGGAGTCTAAAAATGACAACGTGAACGGAACAACTTTTAGTTGGCCGGCTGTAAGCGGCGTTAGGGTCGAGTTTGACAACTCCACACCGAGGGAGAGGCCTGCCGATGCGGAGCCTGAAGAGGCTTCAACAACGGCCTCAGCCGCCGGTGCCACCTGCACTAGCGAACCTGATGATGCCCATGACCTGTCTTTTAACTGGACACAGAAAAGATGGAGTGAGTGGAATGAAAGGTATCCATGGCTTTTCATAACAAATACAACATTTGGATGTGAGATTTGCAAAGAGGGAAAAAGTATATTGATCTCCCAAACAAGAGACAGAAGTATTTGAATTTTATCAGACACCGAATTTATAGCATTGAAAATAATTACTTTGAAAATCATGTATCTGAATTTTTTTTGCTCCGAATTTACCTATGTGAAATAAAAATGTAAAAATTCAAGTTAAAACAATTTGAATGTTCAAATTCAGATCCCAAAAATTCAAGTTAAAAAAATTCGAATGCACAATTTCGGTTTAAAATTCGACGTCCAAAATTGCGATGCAACATCATCCGGGCTACTCAGACAGGATAAGCAATCGAGCCCGAATGCAATCAAACCGACTTCTGGCCTATCAGAGCCAGACCCGGCGTCATGGGCATGTCATGTTTTAATCAGGGCTGAATACAACATTTTAATTGTTTTATTATGTTTATTGTTGTTATTTGTAGGGCTTTGTCCTAATATTTATTTTTGTATTAAACTATGTTGAAAGATTAGTTTAATATAATTTTTTTATTTTGCTATGAAATTCTGAATGAAAGGCTGAGCGCGAGACTGGTTTTTCGCTGGGTTGAGTCGTGTGGATTTTTGAGTGAGATGCGGCACAGCAGCCTGTCAGTTTACTCTTGCTACAGATGAAGCGTCTTATTTTGGACAGTTTAAAATGCGAGGGTCGTGATCGGTTCGTGCACGTTCCGTGATGGCCGGCCGGCCCCCAGTCTGACTTGATACCGCCCCCGTGATAAATACATTTAATTATTGTGAAGCCAGCTGCAATGGATCATTGATCCACCAGGGGGTGCAGTGGGGTTCCACACTGGAGTCATGTGAAATCAACTTCTTTGTTGTTAAGATCCATATGTCACAGATAGGATCATAGTCTGTGCTAAATAAGACATGTAATCATTTAAATAATGTTGTTTAGTCGGAAAAAACGAACGAGCCGGCTCTCCCGATTTTTAATCCTAATTTAATCATCATCATTGATGTTTATGTTCGCCGAATTGACATGAAATCACTGACAAATATGAATATTCTGTATTCAACTTCATTGAAACGATCAGGATGGGTGTTATTTTTCCCCACAATGACCAAGTCGCTGCAAATGATCCCATGTATTATGTACATGTACATGGCCACATTCTCAACAAAGTTACGTAACGAAACATTCTGTATTCCTTGCTTACTTTGTATTTAATGCTTTATAACAGCTGGAATAGTTCGTTTAGAACAGGCACCTCACTCGCAATCTGCTCCTCCGCAACGCCTACCACCTACCTCCGGCTGAAATTATGAATGTACAGTAAGGCATAGTAATCATAGATAACACGGCAGGGTCCGTTACAGTTTGTTTTCATCTGATTTCAAATATTTCAAATGTCTGAAGTTAATAAATACATTCTCAGTGTTCAAGTCAATAATAGTCATATAAGAAAAGTACTGATCTAATAACAGAGATTTTATAAGGACTTTTCAATGTTCGACATCGCTCATGTGAAATACAGTAAACTGGATGTTGTGGTGCCGAGAGGCGGGGTATCAAAAGTACAAGCTAAACTTTTATTTAGCATCTGAACACACTTGTAAACAACGTGATGCCCGGGAAGCGAAGACCCGGCGGAAACAGCTGGTCTGGTTCACTAAAATGTCCGTGTACAGTATATCTGGTACTAATGTATAGCGGATCTTTGTTAAGATCCATATGTCACGGATAGGATCATAGTCTGTGCTAAATAAGACATGTAATCATTTACAAAACATCACCATGTTGTTATGCGCATGTGCGAGATGTTATGCATGTGCGCATGTGCGAGATGGTCCGCCATGTTGCACAACTCAATTAAAAAAAGTGTGTTGGTGTATGATCACATTTGTATATGAAAATGTCAGAAGTTAATAAATACATTCTCAATGTTTAAGTCAATCACTGAAGATGCTTACGATATCATAAAATCTAAGTGTTAATGATTGTCAGTAGAGATGGGATGGCAGAAGGTGCTATATATATATATATAATTCCAAAGCTGGTAAAGACCTTTCAAATTTAGCAATAATAGTCATATAAGAAAAGTACTGATTTGTTCTTGAATCAACTTTTTTATGGAAAATGTTTTATGTAATTTTATTTCATTTTAAATAAAATGAAAGACATTCACAGTTAATGTAATTAGATATACATTATTAATGCCATACATTTTTAAATGTAATTAGATATACATTATTAATGCCATACATTTTTGCATAAATATTTATTCAGTATGATAGCTGTCTAACAGAAGTTAAATCCATTTCTCACTTATTCTGACAATGTACTTAACCCCAAATAAAAGAACCCAATAAAAATAGTTGTTAAATAATAGTGAAGTCACGTTGTAATAACAATAACTCATCTCTCTCGGTTTTTTTTGTTTTCTTTGTGTGCTTTGCCAAAAGCCACTGTGTCAAGTGTCCTAGTTGGGTTGCCGTACGGAGTTGAGCAATATGGCGGACCATCTCTTCTGTCAAAGACCATTGCAAGACTATTTATGTTTGGATTCTCACTTGAGGAATCTTAACCTGAGCCACAATAAATTGTCTATAAATAGATTCCCAACATCTCAGTTGTATTAAAAATGAATAAGGCCATCTTCACGAAAAGTTCAAAAGCAGCCCCTTGCCATTCTGTCTAATGTGGTGCGACGGGGGAGGGGGGAGAGAGTTAGACGCTCGTGAATCTTACTGAGAACGTTATGTTTCCTCTGTCTGCTTATGCCAAAAGCAACGACAAATTATCTGTTTTAAATACCTTTTTAGACCGTAAACTTTAGAATGAAATGTAATACCGGTTAGTTTTTTGTGTTCATACTGACAGAAGAAGAAATAAATTAAGTATGAATGAGAATAAGACTTATGTAATGTATTGACATTTGATCAGTAGCCTATAAATGTATTACTAACTTTATCCACTGTGGTACCGAAGCTTGGATCACCGCCAAAGACATGGCCAAGGGCAGCTGGCAGCTTTCAATATTTTTCATGTGCGATTCTAACGCTTTCAGAAAGTGAAACATACAGCATCATTTGAGAAAAATAAATCAAAATAAGCGTTATAAATGAACCCTGACTACTTGTGTTTAGGACTCACTGTATTTTGCTACTCTCTAGGTCTGTGGGCCAAATCCAGATATGGGGGCGGGGGGGGTTCTGTTAGAAGGTGCGACGGGGGAGGGGGGAGAGAGTTAGACGCTCGTGAATTGTCAACGGGGGGGGGCCTCTCTGCACGGAGGAGCCGCGGAGAAGTGAATCACAGTGATCTGCTATTTTAAAGTAAATTCAACACATATCGACCCTAAATATAGCATATATTAAGAACGAGAAAGTGTTAACATCGTTTTTTGTAAACATATGACCAATGTGCGAGGGGTGATGACATCAGAGCATCGTCCTATGGGCTTAGCCCCGGACAGGTACAACAGGTATTCACTCAGAGGGGGGTAGTTACCCATTTACATGTCAAAAAGCAACAAACAGTGGGCGGGTGGGGGATGGTGAACGTTTACATTTATCTACAGAATATATTTAATTTAAGGGGAGCAGTTACTGAGAAGTATATAATGAGAACTGCTACCAATGGTGGCCTATTTAGTTTATTAAGAAATACATATTTGTAGCTTTTTTTTTATCTGCAGTAGGAAATGCAGAGAGTAGCGACAGGGCTGGTCCAACCTGATCTGTAAAGTGATCTAACTAAGTGCTATTCATTTTCTTGACGGGGAAGTGCAGTGTAAATGGGGGGCTTATATGCATTTGAAAAGCAATATAAATCACACAGTTCGTATACAATAGGCATTAAAAGCACCATCGATAACCATTGCCCTTCTCCTATTCAAACCAAAAGAGAAAATGCAGATATTACACTCTGAAAAGAAAGGGTAGACATATCTGTACTCTTAGTGCCAAGTAGCTAAGCTATTCATTCGCAGAAATGTAAAGTGATCTATCTAAGTTCTATTCATATTCTAAACATTTATAACTAGTTTAGGTTGTTTGAGAGGTACAGCTACCATTCTTTAATTAGATGTTTGATAAGTGCATGCAGATCACATAAAACACGTACACAGATACATTATTTTGTATTTTTATTAAATTCGACAATGTCAATTTCACTTTCCACTATGTCCACCGTTGTTTTTCACAACCAATGGCAGAACTTTATTGAGGCCTGTAATTAGTCGTTGCGACTCTGAGCGTTAGGGAAACCCATCATCTTGATAAAACATGAACTTTTCTTGTTATCATTTTTATTGTGTTAACAATTAAGTTAACAGGTATTCACTCAGAGGGGGGTCGGCTTCATAGTTGTATTTATCATCTAAATTTGCCGAAACAAGTTTAATATTCTGAAAGCCAAGACTTTGTTTATTTGAAATCAGATGAAAACAAACTGTAACGAACCCATTTTATTCATATTCTGAGTCATAAAGACTTTATTTAAAATAAACATTTATAACTAGTTTAGGTTGTTTGAGAGGTAATTGAAATAGTTACGGGTGATGATCTGACTTGAAGTGTGTGTTTTTTGCTCCTCCCCATTCTTTAATTAGATGTTTGATAAGTGCATGCAGATCACATATAGTAAAACACGTACACAGATACATTATTTTGTATTTTTATTAAATTTGACAATCTCAATTTCACTTTCCACTATGTCCACCGTTGTTTTTCACAACCAATGGCAGAACTTTATTGAGGCCTGTAATTAGTCAACTACAGGTCTCTTGAGTCAGTCTTTTTCTTCCAAAAAGCTTGTGACAAGATGTTATTGCTCTTGGGGCATTAAAAACAAGATTTTAACTTTAGTTTTTTATATAATATCTGCATTGTCTCTTGTGAAAAACTAAGTCTTAGTTTGGCCATAGTTATTTAATATATAGCGCCATCTCCTGGTTAAACCCTGAAATTGGAGAATAGTGGGAGGGCCTAACATTCCTGAATACTGGTCTTTGGCAGGTCTTAGGCAGGTAACTGGCTGGCAGTAGGCAGGAAGCTGTATGCTGGGGTCCAAAATAAGAGGCTCCATCTGTACCAAGTTACTGCGTGGCACTTTGGTTTTGATAAAACAGTGTAGTTCCCCTATATAAACGTTACATTCATAATCAACCGAGACACTCTGCAAGAGAATTAGCTATTTTTTGTTATTCTTAATGCTTGTCATCACGTTAATAAAATAAAAGAAGTACCGATACACAGCAGAACAATTGTGGCGATGTTCAGCTTAATAAGCCTTGTTCAACATAATTTATTTAGCTAATACTACAGCGGGCTGCAGGCGAACCAAGTCCGCGTTTCGCTGCATTCCTTGATCTCCAGTTATAACGCCGGACTCCACCGCCCGGAGCTAACGGAGCCGCAGGGGGCTCCGGGACGCCGGCTGGAGCTGGACGCCGGCTGGAGCTAGCCCCCTGCGGCTCCGTTAGCTCCGGCGGCCACCACTGGGATAATTGGGTCCCGTTTTAACATTTAACAAGGGTCGTGTTAGAAAACAATTCACTCACAGATTCATAATCATGAAGGTGGAATCTAACTATATCCATAATAATATCTATTGCATCCAGGGGTAGAAACATGTTTTTTTCTGCTGTAAAATTGGGCATTTTAACATGGGGGTCTATGGAAATGGCTCCTTTCTGCAGTCATCGCCTATCGGCCAATATATGAACTGCAGTTTGTGGCACTTCCGTATTGGCGTCCCGGCTCTTCTCCAGAGTTTGCCGCTTGATCGTATCGCATCGCCTGGTGTTTCAAATGTATCGTTAATGTATCGTATCGTTGGCAACGTATCGAGATGCGCATCGCATCGGCCTCAGTGATGGAGATGCACATCCCTAAGAAGTACACTTACATTTAGTATTTAATTACAAATTCTGTACAGCCATTAATTGTCTTAACAGTTATACAGCTTGAAGACAAAGGGCAATGCTACTCTTACATTTACTTTTCATTAACTGTTATGATCATATCTGTACATTTAAAGCATTGGTTTGAATAGATTTTGTTATATAAAGTCGTGACTTGGCATCACTATCACACTGGACAGTATCGCAGCAGGTCTGTAAACAGGAGCAAGCGGTCACTTGAAGATCTTTTTTGAATGTGGGTAGCTACGAGTGCCATCTTGAGAGGTTTGTGTGTAACTGGGGCAGATGAGGTGCGTGTCAGCAGCAGAGTGAGCGGTGTAAAAGCATCGTAGTTAACCGAAAGAAGTTTTAATGTGTTTGTTCACTGCAATAATACCAGGTTTAGGTGCCCATCCCATTTCGGTGCAAGAAATACTGTATCTACACATAATGAATAATGTGCATCACATGACACTGTAGGTGCAAAACTCATGGCTGAATGTAAAACTATGATCAATCTAATAATTTTTCTGTTATTTAATATCAATGACTCAACTGTACTGTCTATTTTCTACACTGTACCCATTACATCCATAACCAAATTTAAAAGTAACAATAATATTCTGTTTATTGATGCAATCATCACATAATTGAACAACAGGATAATTTACATATCATTAGTGCTCTATCAGAATTTAACTTTGTATATAGTTAAACATTTAGACTGTATCCTCTTCCCATTTTGTACATGTATTCTAAATAATTACTTACATTTTTTAAATGACAAATTTAACTCGTAGTTATGGCTCTAAATACCAAAGTACCACACGATGATCATCAGTTATACAGATACGATACCCATCAGACAGAGTGTTGTAGATCCATCCACATGCTGTGCTCTCGTAACGTTTCATCATATTTATCAACACATTTTATACAATCTCACTTTCACATGCTTTTTGCCATCACCAACTTCCTCAGAGGTAAAACATCCTCCACCCATTCACCATCAGATTGTAACATCCTTTGCCATAAATCTGCTTCATCTGGCGTTGAATCCATCCAAAGCACCTCCGTCCCGTAACTCTTCCCTGAACACAGCGCAACACAAATGACACACACATTTAAAACAACTACTAATTGAGCGTGAGGCCGAAACAAATACCCAATTTACATCTACGCAAACAGCCCTCGCTGTGATAAATAAGAGTGTTTATTGCATACCATCTCCAGAAGAGGCAATATGTCTGATCTGTTCATTATCTGGACAGTATGCACACTCAGCATAAACTAATTGAACGCACATTCTGATCACACTTTAATCCCATGTGACCATGTTCAAACCAATTAAAACCAATGCTCATTTTATTATTGTATTCATATTGCCCAACATCACAAATCACAAATTGACCACATGAGGTAAGAATCTGTACCCCCCCCCAACCCAGCAGAAGAGTGATAGCGGGGGGTCTCACCTGTGCCTAACCCCAGCCTCAGACCACCGATGTGGTGGTTGTTGAGGCGGTCGTGGTCCCACACTGTGATCTCCACGCAGGCCTCCCTGAGGTACTCCGGCCGGAAGCCGTCGTACACCATGGTGTGGTTAAACATGGGGTTGGCCGTCCGCTTCACCACACGCGTCTTTTGACTGATTTTTCGGCTCGTGTCAGGAAGCACGGTACTTGAGTAAAATGAAAGGAAGGAGACACAAACTATTCAAAACTAAATAAATCAGGTATTATAAACTTAATAAATCAAATACATATTGAAAAATATGTAATATAACCATAGAATCTTAGCTTATGTTGTAAATGTGAGTGTATCCTGCTCCATCTCACACTAACAGGTCATATTGAATTTAATCAGGCACGTTTTATATTAAAGGTCACCTGTTGTGCAAAATGCACTTTTTGATATCTTTTATACATGGCATTATCAGAAACGTCACTGTATCAGAAACAATGCACGACGTGTTTTGGAAGTAATATGGTCATGTTTACATTAGCAAGTATCGCTAACACTCAGAGCTATCACTTTTCTGGAGAGAATATGCGTAAAGAAGCCGGATATAAAAGGTACTGTCCTTGTGGTAAACCCGCGAGAGAGAGAGCGGAGCTCACTGCTTGCATGTGTAGGCCTGTCACGATAATTAATTTTCCCGGAAATTATTGCGATAAACGATAATATTGTCGGCACCGTTGTAAGACCATTTTAGACCACTGACATAATGATAATATATAATAATAATTCAAGTACATCCTTTCAAACAGGACTTTTTATTGAACATTCAACATTGCAAATGAAATGTGAAATAATATTAAAATATATAAATTATAGATAATAAATAAAACAAATAAATGAAATTATAGAAAACTAATTAACCTGTTAAGCCCTGAGCCTGTTTTTCAGGTCTCAGGCTCGAAAATGACATTCCCAGAACAAATGACCATATCTTCCCTTCTAAAAGGGTTAAATTAATAATCTTTTTTCTCAAAGTAATGATAAACCTGTGAGTTGGATGTAGAAAAGTCAGAATCAATATAGATGTTTTTTATTTTAAAGAAAATTCAGATTGAAAATAGTAAAAAACTGTAAATTATAGTGTCCGTCCAAAAATTCTTTTTTACTTATAGTGAAAACTACCCTTGGATGATGGGTTAGTAGACTACAAGCTTTAGGAATCCAAAGTACAACATATAATAAGTACCCTGTATCAAGATTGATGCAAAACAAGTGAAATCTGAAATGTTTTGAGAGATTTAGCCAAAAAAAAACACTTCTGGGGTCATTTGGGTGGATTTTCCATATCTCTGGCCCCCCTTTGTCAATTTTGACGAATGAAATCTCTTTCTGACCGTTAGAGCCAATAGAATCGAAGGGGAATTTCCCCACACACACACATGGTAAAAAAAAAAAGGTGGGGGCTTCGCGCATGCAGTTTTGTGAACCTATCTCTCGCTCTGACATCTGGAAACGAAAAAGCAGTTTTAATGCTCATGGATTATCAGAAATCATTTCAAAGGGACACAGACACATTGGATTAACCTATGGATTAACTTCAGCAGCGTTTTTATCGTTTTAATGCCATTGAAGACCACTTTTGACCAGACTACGACACAGGTAAGCCATGTTAGCGTAAAATGATCAGTTAGATGAGTTTCTTCTCGTTACATGGATATAAAACATTCATAGTTTTATTAAATGAACATGCCCTCAGACACTGTTTCCTGCAAGATGTTGCGGGAGGGCCCCGGTACCGGGGTCTCTCGGGCTTAACAGGTTAAATCACACACAACCAAAACAATAAATTAAATAGACTCAGGCTTGAAAACAGAGTTCTCTCTCTCTCTCTCTCTATATATATATATATATATATAAATAAATAAATAAATATGTGCACACATTGTCTCACAAGCAAAACAAAACTCCTTTTAAAACAACAGTCAAGTGTGCAGTCCACTGTCCATACAAAGACCCAGATGCCTCAACAGGCCATATGCAAATCTATTTTTAAAAGTTTTCGAGCAAGGAACACCAACATGTTTGCATTGTCGGGCAAATGCATCTTTGATTGTAAACTGTCGGGAAGGTGGGGGCTCTCCATCTCCAGCTGCCATGTTTGCTCCCAGCTGGGAAAACGGAATGGGGTGGTTGTGTTTCAGGTTGGTCGTATTACTAGCTTTTGTTGCTACCTTTTTTAAACAAATGCGACATACCGGCTCATTCAAGTCCGTAGGTTCGCCTCAGTGATTTGGCTTAAATCCAAAATATTCCCACACCGGAGATGTGGAGTTTTGCAACCAATTCCATTTAACTTCAAATTCCCCTCGAGTAAGTCACACGTTGTCTCCTGCTTGTGTCTATATTATTCATTTGGCTGCTCCACTGCTGCACGTGGAGTGTCCTGACCTGGCTGTGTGTGAGCCCCGCCCCTCACAGCGCGCCTGGCCGGCAGACACAGCACGCCGGGCCGGTAGAGTGGCCGGTCACATCTTTATGTAAACAAACGTGCATGTAAACGGCAATTTATCGAGGTCAGAAAAGTTATCGAGTCAATTAATTGCTTATCGCGACAGGCCTATGCATGTGGACGCTCCAAAGGGACTTTTAGTAAAAGGGCTGAAATAGAGGGGTATGAGGCATGCTACAATGGGTGATCTGTTTGGTATTTTGAGCAAAACGTTTCAGAGACATGTTTTGTATAGATATGGCCCTACAATATATTGTTCAAATATAGCATAATAGGTGAGCTTTAAAGGTCGTTGTCTGTTTTTATCTCACAGCGTGATTGGCTTTTGTTGAAAGCCAATCACATGACTGGCTCTATCTTGACTGACACAATTGTTTTAGTGAAACTGCTGGAATGAAGAAAAGAACGACCTTCAATAAACCAATATATATTAATGTGAAAAGAAAACAAAATTAAATAAAATGACATAATAACAGGATGTGTTATAAAAATGTTTTGGCATATTTCAAAATCTCTCAGTTATGTTATACATTTATTTTAATATTTTCTTGTTATTCTTATGATTAATTAGATCAATCAACCATTCATAATGTTTATGAATGTATTGATTGTTCTTACTATTCTAACTCTTAGTGTCTCCATGTATAGTTTGCAGGACATCCTACCATTTCACAAACGGGTCAATAATAACTCCTCTGACCGGAGGAAGGTTCTTGCAGTCTTTCACCCAAATCTGCACCTCACCAGTCTCCATCCTCGATGTCCTCTTACCTGTGGATGCAATCAGACAAAAATAAGCAGTCCAACTCCAAGAATGGAATGGATCCCATGTGAGGAGTCATGTGCTCACTGTGAGACGTCTGCGGCAGGAACCTGAGAGCCACTCTCATCTGTCCCCTGCTGTCCGCCTGCCGCCAAGGAGAAGATGCTGGACTTTGTGCTGAGACCTGAAGGATTCAGCGGGGTGAGTTAAAATCATCCAAACACTTCTATCATGCTCTATCATGTGTGTAGAAGAAACGAAGCCTTTACCCTGGCTTTAAGTGCATATTCATTTATGTGTGTGTTGCTGAAGTCCCATTCTGACAGATCCAGGTCCACCTCACCAAGGAAGCTGTTCCGCCCAAAAGTGTTGTTGTGCCACACCGAGATGTTCAAACTCTGAGTTTTCAACCCTCCCATTATGATTTTGTACTATGAAAGAGAAAGCAGGCAACAACAACGTTTGTAAAATAAAGTATACATGTCATTTGAAATTTGTAAAAGACTAAATTCTTACCCTGAGGATTTCATTGTAGGTGGGGTTCAAAGTTTTATTTTTAACAGCAGTTTTTCTCTTTCCTAACTTTGTTTTATCAGGAAGAAGATAACATTTCACATACCTGTAAAAGATGAGAACAGACAGACAACTCAAGAAACAACATTTAGAGTCAAATTTTAAACATTCTTCAAATGACAACAAGAGGTAATAAATGTACAGTTCCATTTCAAATGTTTCAGCCTCCTTTCTGATCAAACAGTGCCATTTCTACAACCCAAGTCGCTGAATGATATTTATTCTACCTTTGCCATTTTTATGTTGCAGAAATATCAAGCACTTACGGGTCGGAGCTGTTCTTCTTACTGTCCGCCACGGCCAGGTCCCTGCAGTGCACAACAAATACGTGGAACTCTCCAAGCTTCTGGATGTAGTTCACAGCAAACTGGATGCTTCCCTGGACTTCAACGTCTCCAAAGTTTGCAGGGCAGATGCTGCTGGTGCTGCCGCCGACCTGCTCATCACAGAGAGAACAATCATCACTGCTTTCATTACTTTGATTGTCTTTCTTTTTTTTACGTTTGTCTTTTGACCCGTAACCCCATATGAAGCATTTTCTTACTTTAAATGATCCTTCTTGAAATATTGCTGTTGTTTATTTTGGTCAACACAATTCATAAAATACACAAAATCTATCTACAGTGACCAGCTGTTTTAAGAAATAGTTGAGCTTTTAAAACCCCTGAATGGTGAGTCATTTCTAAAGATGTATGTCTTATGTATGAACCGATGGAGTTGTGAGCCATAGACAGGGAGGACTTTTTCAATCAGAAACATCATTATCTAGTGATCTGCATGTGGACATACAGAGGACATGGAGGCCATTCCTGAGGAGAGGCTGAGGTTAGACGTGGAGCTCCCTGTGTTTCTTCTCCAGCCAAAGTTGGTCTCAAAGGTGTCACTGTCTGTCTGATATCAGAGAAGAGCATGAATGACAGTTAAACACATAAACCTAGAAAAAGAAAATTGGTCATACAGGAAAAAAACCTCTGTGAACTCAGCAATAATGAATGATGCGAGAGTTCTGTGAAAGCTGAAGTGGTAAAGGCATCACTCCCCTCACTGCAGTGCAGATGTTGAACACTGGAGATCATACTTTTTTTGTGATGGCAAAAGTCAGTTCTGGGTATTCACCTGGTGGTTCTGAAGAGCAGTCACTGACACACTGCCTCTCATCTGCTCAGAGCTGGGCAGAGTTGAGGCTGATGGAGGGAGTGAGCAACCTGGAAGAAAGAGGACCAAGAGTTTCATGTTTTTCACACTCTGATTCATTTGTTCTCTTGGTTTATTTCCGGTCCACTCTTCTCCTAAGAAGAGACAATATTATTCACATACATTCCCATATAAATGATATCACGTCAAATGAAATAATAATGAAGTAGCTTTCTGACCTTAAGCTACTTTAAAGAACAGTATCTGAAGAAGAATTGTTCTGTTACTTGTTTGTGAGCTGAGGTTTTCCAGACTTTTAGATGATGACATGCTCCTTGAAGATAACCTCTTCAGGGCTGCGATCACGGGACTAGAGGCGTCATCATAACCTGCCACAAATGAAAAAAATTAGCTCTGAAAAGTACGCTCAGCACAACTTCTGGTTTACTAACAACCATCTAAAACTGAATGCTTCTGTCTAAATATATGGAAAATAATGGCCAGTTTATTTTTGGTCGAGTATTTTAGGCAGGTATAACGCTTAGTAAATCAGTTCAGTATGCAAAACAGTGGCTTTGCTATCATCATGGTGAACACTGGGGACAATCACCAGATTTGGGTTTTATTCATATCTACGGCATTAGCAGTTCTTTAATCACAAAAAGCCAGTCAACCAAAACAAACAACTGCATTGAACAAAAACAAAATTGATTTATACTGGTTAAAGGCTATCCAAATCTAAACTGTATTATATGTTAGAAGGGGAAATACAAAAGGTGAATTGAGATGAGTGAGGAAGTTGTCAGGGCCGATACTCTCAGCTCTCACACTCACTGTCATGGTAATGTGTGTATCCATTTCTTTATCCTGCCCACCCTCTCCTCCTGCTTACAGACAGCGGAGCTCCTTCTCTAATCATGGATACAGGAAGTCATTCCTGCCACCAGCTAGAACCCTGCACACCTCCCTCTGGAGCTCCATCCAGAGTTTAGTTTCTGTTTAATCAGATGTCACTGTGTCTTTCTCCCGTCCTAAACCCTGAACATTTTGTGCATATTGTACTGAGTTTAAGCTGCAACTACCTCGCACACTTTGTAATGTATTCATATATCCTATGTTTATAGTTTATTACGTTTTAGTAGTAGTTTAGTCTACTATAGTGTTTTATTACTTGTTCTTTATATTTTTGTATTGTGTTTTGATATATTGTGACTTCTATATACTGTACAAGAATCTTCCTATCTTTCTATTGTTAGTATGTAAACATGAACTGTTTGTTCATTTTTCATTTCTCTTTCCATGCTTCTGAAAAATAAATCCCAATGTTGGATCATTAAAGTGAATCTAATCTAGAAGAAGGAAATGTAAATGATAAAGAATTGAAAGCTCACTGCCTTGACTGGCCCGGGACAGAGACCTGGCCCGGGTCGCTGTGTTTTGGCTGGAATTTTCTTCTTTATTTTGCACCCTCCAAGAACTGACTTTGTGAGGACTCCCTTCAGTGGGACTGAAGTGTGTGAGGGCATCCTGTGGTTTGTGACCCGCATCATTCTTTGCTTCAGCAGAGGTCTCCTGCTTAAAGAGCGGGACATGGGCCTTCTCCTGAGGCCCCAGGTAGTGCTGATAGTCCTGAGGAATGAAAGATCTGGCCAGGCGTGTAAACGTACCCAACTTCTTCTCTGGAGCTTTTTTAGATAGAGGTGAAGTAAAGGAACTTAAACTACTTTGTTGTGTGTGGACGTCCTCAGGAGGTAAAGGGAGAGGACAAGAGGAGACTTCTATGCTGGATTTAGAGTCAGTCGGCACTGTGTGCTTCGCTTCATGTGATGGACTCTTCTGTCTAGGAACTGGTGTTGGCTTCTTATGTTGCTCTTCAACCACCTTAGCTTGGGGGTCGATGTCTATTGGGAACGTTGTTAGCTGAGGGCCTCCCAGTTTGGATCTCTGAGGAATGGAGGACTCTCTTGGTAGGACCCTTGGATGACAGGTCTTAGATGGAGTCTTCCTTATCTCATCATCCTGGTCTTTTGATCTTTCATTTTGGGATTTGATAGGACTGAGAGGCCTTTCCTCATATTCTGTTTCATCCTTTTCTTGGTATTGGTGAGATGTTGACTGTGTAACCACAGTACTATTGGCTCTTGCAGCGACTACCCTGTGTCCCTTATATTCCTTCTTCCAAAGATCCTTAACCTCACTACTCTTGGCTGGTCTGTCCTCTTGAGGACTGGAACTAGACTGCCTGGGAAGAGGAACTGGAATATCCGGTTGTTGCTTTTGGGTTTTGAAGCTTACAGGAGAGATGATGTTTCTCTGTGGCTCAGAAATCTGTGACTCCATTAGTGAACTTGTTTGGGAGTCATCTGTCTCTTCATCGATGAGGACTGGGTTTGCTCTATATGTGCCATCTTCTTTAGATAAATCTACTGATAAGCCACAGTTGGTCTGTGGGGACGTGCTGACAGCATCCTTAACTGTCATTTCCATTTGATTTGAGAGATTGTTGTTTATGCTCTTCTCATCAATGTTAGACTTATGGCCAATTACATCATCTATTCCTTTATTGGGGATGTCTTTGCACTTTGCCTCTTCTCCAGGTATAATTACTTTCGAGCCAGTGTTTTCCCTCTCCCAGAAAGCTTTCAGATTATACAGTCTCTCTGGAAGCTCAACAAATCTGCCTTCTGCTGCCTCCCGCTGATTGTCTGCATCTACTGAGGGCACTGATTCTTTAAAGGGTGTGTTCTGCAGTGCTGTAAGTTGTAGTGTTCTGACCTCTGTCGTCTCTGTAGCTTTAGCTTCTTGTTTAACACTTGCAGGTTCGTCCACAGTCGTATCTGCAGCACGTGGAGAGAGGTTCTTGGTTCTGCACTGTTCCTTCTGCTGAGGTATCTTCGCCTCTTCTTTTTGTCCTGTCTGTACTTCATCAGTTTTCTCTTTCTCTCGTCTAAATAATCCGAGCAGTCTTTGTCTAGGCTTTGGTGAGACAGAATGAAATGAGCCCTTTGAGCTGCCAGTAGACGGCTTGGTATCTTGGGTCTCCTCAACAGCAATGTCAGTTTTTTGTTCAGGCATTTTTGGGGGATGATTGTGGAATCCATGGTGCCAGTCTGTGGCCTGAGAGGGAGGCCCAGCAGAAATGAGTGTGGTCACGGCAGGGCTTATAAACTCTGAATGATTTTGCTCAGAGACATCTGCAAAGAGAGCAAGTACAACATGTATCAGTCATGTACATTGTATCCCCTTTACACTGCACAGTATCATTTAAAATATCCTCAAATCAAATCAAGTTTTGTTTCTATGACCCATTATCAAAAAAACACATTGTCTGTGTAGATTATTAAGAAAGCACTTCAGCCACACTACTTTGGGATAAGCAATGTCATATTGAGTTATATAATAAAGCAATGGGGAGAGTTCAACACATGGCACAAGGCACAATGCCATATCAGTTTGCATTCAAACCCAGTAAAGCCAAATAAAACAGGTGATTTCTTCCTTTTCTTATCCACCACTCTCTATAAGCAGGCATAACAGAGCTACAAGCAAGAACATGCATGGGCAGGATGTCTAAATGTTTATGAATGAGTCACTGGTTGTTAGTTTGATTGATTGATTGATTGGCTGTTTAGTTGATTGATTGGTTTTGAATAAAACTCTTACCACCAAGGACCTGTTGGCCAGCTTCTTGCTTTTGAAGGTTTGCCTCATTTTTGCAACTGAGTTCACCTTCCTGTAAATCCACTCTACTCTGATAGAGAGAAGGCATACACGGACCAACGGCGGTACCGCCACTTTTCTCAAGGTCACTATTATTTTCTGTGTGACAGGGAGTGTTGGAGTCGATGTCCAGCAAACTGTGCTCTCCCAGCTCCTTCCCCTGGAGCCACTCCACGTCGTGACGACCGACCGTGGGGCTGAACCTCACCTGCTTCCTGTCTATCCAGGCCTCAGCAGGAGGGTCCAGGCTCCCTGGACTCAGGTCCAGGGGGGAGAGCAGGGGGTCTGCAGGGCTACAAAGGGACAGGTGCTTGAGGATGCCCCGCAGAGCAGCAGAGTTATTCTGCTGAGCCCAGGGTCCGTCCTTCTCAACAGAACAGTCATGAGAACAGATGCTGAATGCTCTGTGTTCAGGCATTGCCATTAGAACAGATGCATTCTGGGTGATCAGGCTATCATTAGCGCTACTTGCATAAGAAAAGCGGCTTTCAAATGATGATGAAGATTCTGAATGAGACAAAAACAAATGTACACAATTTTTACCGACAACACAACTGTGTGTTTTATCTTTGAGTGTTTAAAACCAAACAGAGAACTGAATCACTGCTGACCTTCAGCAACCCTCAAACTCAGAATCATGTTCATAACCATCAGCCTCTATTGTTCTTTCATCGCCTCATATCTGAAGAGATCACTTCGACCTTATTACTTTTGACCGCAGTCTTTCATTAATGTTGGAAGGTTTTGGTCTATGAAGTTTGTTATGTTTCACGTGTTCCTGTTCAAAGATTTGCTCAAAAACGTTGTTCTTCCTTCCTCCACTAATCATCCAACAACAAGAATGTTTGTAATGTGGTATTGGTACACTTCAATATAGGATCCAAAGACTTATTAAGCCGGTGCCTTTAGACACCTCGAGGAAGCAGGCCTACATTTGTTCTCTGTATGAGTTTACACTAGGTGTCTTGGGAAGTGCTTTGTTTAAAAAGCCTACAACTGTTTATTTGAAAAAAATCGAATGTTTCACTGTTTTCAAAAATACTGTGGCTTGCATATAAGTAAGGCTAATGGTTTTGTCTGGCACCAAAAATCTAGAAGCAAAATCAGCGTCAACTTTCAGAACATATTATTTCTCCAACAAAAACATTGTTTTAAGTTCCTCGGAAATATTTCTAGCAGCCACAAGTCATGCGGTGAAGATTAAGGCTTTGGAATGTTCTTCTCTGTAATCCTCTGGCTAGTCTGGCTGCCTCGTGTATTCACACTTCCCTTCTCTGCCTGGGAAAATCTGCCTGAGCACCAACTCATTTCACTATGACTGGATTCATCAAACTTGGAGATATTGGCAGAAAAAACGAAGACTTCGGCTGAATAACTTGGATATATACAGTATATAATGGTTGTCTCTGTTATATAGATCAACAAATGGTGGTGGTTCTTAAGCTTGTAAATAATTAAACTAGCACTGACACCCAGATGTCAAACAGCATACATACTTACATTGGTTTGTAATGCAACTTTCACGAATTGTCCATCAAGCATTCCACTCAATTCAAAACACAACACATGTTGATTCATTAGAACAAGTAATACTGAACTCACCCTGGTTCAGTGTGTGGGTGTCATCCACCGCTGCGACCAATAGCTGACCGTCTTTTTCTTCAAAAGTGTGACATGCAATGACCTCACTATTGAATGGATTTTTTCTTTGCTTCAACAAAAGAAAATGAATACATATAACATCTGCAAATCACGGACATGTGGAAGCACATGCTGTTTTTCAAATGTTGGACTTTCTTTAGTCAGAATCCTACCTTTGTGGGTGACTGTAAAAGTGGTCTAGGTGTTTCAAATGACTTCTGGTTCTCACATCTATAAAATAGACCATGATAATAAGAGCTGTGGACAATTTACTTCAAACTTCAGGCTTTTGAAAGCAAATGATTTCATCTTGGATTGGAAAATGTGCATGCTCATGTTAGTGATTAAATAATAATCTCTTAACAATGCCTGTTTTAGCAGTGTATTTACCAGCTGAAACAACAATACTTCTCCTCATACAGGATAATGTTGATACAGTTATATACATATATAACTGTATATGTATATATATGTAGTTGCTATCAAGAACAGACAGGTACATTCTCACATGTAAAGTCACTGCGGAATGAGTACAACAATGATATGTGCAAACGCTCCTCAGAAGCAGTGGAAAACATGAACATGTGAGACCTGACCTTCTAAGAAGATTATGGGGCCAATTACAAAGTATCCATTTAGTGTGTGCACAAGTCCCTCACTGGCAAATGACCCAAATAATCTACTGCTGAAGCATGTGATGGTGCTCACAACAGAATACACACCGTATGTTCTCTTTTGACTTTGTTGACTTTTCTTCACAGTTTATTTAAAGCTGCAGGAGGCAGCTTTGTGTTTGCTAACTCTGTGTGAAGACCATACATTGAGTGAATCGCCATTTCAAATCCCTCTGTTATTCTGCTCCTTGTCTGCTAAACATATTCATATATATATATACATATGTTTCTCATTAAAAACAAATCCAATGACCAGAGTCAAATAGATTCTACTGACAAGTATTGTGTGCATATCCAGTTCCTAATGGAGCTGTGCCAATGATGAACTTCTTTAAGGACTTTTTAAAACATTCCCCTACAAAATGAAACCTTAACACATAAACATGATAAAGTAAACTTATATCATTAAAAAGTAGAACAACCTGTCTACAGAGTGCTGCTGGAGTGGTGAAGGGGTTTAACTGAGAGGGTCCCACACTCACCTGTCACTGCTGGGCTGCATGGGGGGCTCCTGGAGGAGCCCACAGAGCACAGGGGGGACGGACATTTCAGGGTTTTCCCTGCTGACCAAAGTGGGCTTCTCAGGCACCATATGGGAGAGTTCCACTGCAGCACACAACACACAGATACTTTTAGAGACAGTTACGGATTCATAGTAACTCATGCCATGATTACCAAACAGATGTATGTGAAAACAACCCAGATCTAATGATAACTCTCCATGATCACATCCCAGCTAGCCTCTATAGAGCCTCCAAGCATTCATTCATTTGAAGGTGCTTTATGTAGAATATGGCCCGGATTTGATCTAAAAACATTTAAAAGAATGAACTAACATTGTCATCATATTGTGAGTTGACATTATGTCAGAGACACCTATGTATTATGTTGCAGCGATATCTACTGAAAGAGCATGCTAACAGCTAGCTCAGAGTGCTGTCTTCCTGGAGAGGAGAATCGGCCCTCAGTCCAACATGAGAGGGCCGTGAAGCAGAGCTCTGAGGTACAGGGTCTGGACTGCTCTGAGGTACAGGGTCTGGACTGCTCTGAGGTACAGGGTCTGGAGTGCTCAGAGGTACAGGGTCTGGAGTGCTCAGAGGTACAGGGTCTGGACTGCTCTGAGGTACAGGGTCTGGAGTGCTCAGAGGTACAGGGTCTGGACTGCTCTGAGGTACAGGGTCTGGACTGCTCAGAGGTACAGGGTCTGGAGTGCTCAGAGGTACAGGGTCTGGAGTGCTCAGAGGTACAGGGTCTGGACTGCTCGGAGGTACAGGGTCTGGACTGCTCAGAGGTACAGGGTCTGGAGTGCTCAGAGGTACAGGGTCTGGCCGGCTCAGAGGTACAGGGTCTGGACTGCTCAGAGGTACAGGGTCTGGACTGCTCAGAGGTACAGGGTCTGGACTGCTCAGAGGTACAGGGTCTGGAGTGCTCAGAGGTACAGGGTCTGGAGTGCTCAGAGGTACAGGGTCTGGACTGCTCGGAGGTACAGGGTCTGGACTGCTCAGAGGTACAGGGTCTGGACTGCTCAGAGGTACAGGGTCTGGCCGGCTCAGAGGTACAGGGTCTGGACTGCTCAGAGGTACAGGGTCTGGACTGCTCAGAGGTACAGGGTCTGGACTGCTCAGAGGTACAGGGTCTGGACTGCTCAGAGTTACAGGGTCTGGACTGCTCAGAGGTACAGGGTCTGGACTGCTCTGAAATATCAGCTGAGTTTATATCCTGTTGAGCAGCAATCAGGGTGAGGCGAGGGTATAAGAGTTTTCATAATAGCGTACATAGCTATGCTGACTAAGACTGAAATGTTCATTACACACCAGAAGACAACACATGATGAGATCCTTATGACCTGAAAGTCCTAATGCTAATCACCCAACACTCTGATGAGCATGTCAGTGTTTGTTTTGCTTAAGATTTTGAGAGATGGTTTCTGGTTTTCTCTTCTTCATACACTTCTTTACACAGAGGCCAGATTTATCTTACTTCACAAGCACACTTGCATTTTTAGGAATTACACTAATGTTACAATTTTTACACGATAGAACAGCCATGCAGGATAAAGAACACTCACATATAGTCAGCGGTCTATGTGAGTGTCTCATGGAGGCCCTGATGATCTCGGAGCCGTGGATGCGGTCCTGGTGACGGAGCTGCTTGATCTCGTAGAACCATTCTCCAGTCATGTACCTCAGCTGGCCTCTATCATTCACCATCTTCTGGAGGTTCCTGAGGGCAGACATATCCATCAGTCACTACTTCATTATTTAGAGCTTTTATTTCAAATGGTAGTATAAGAAACTGAAGCATTTCATACATTTTGTGCAACGAATCTAAAGATCATGTCTGTGCGCTGCAAGCAACATTTTAACTGCACCTGCATCTTTAGGTAGCCAATTTACAGTATACTGTTCTACTAACGTTCTATAAGATTCAGATGATATCATTTCTACTCATCCTGGCTGTGACAGATCAAACTGACAGAGCAAGAGATTAGTCTGTACCCAGAACCTGTGACTCAGAGACTTACAGCACTCGCTGCTCCTCAGCCTTCTTCAGCTCGGTGTCTCGTCTCAGCACAGCCAGGATGGCGTCCTGCTCCTCCTCCGTCAGGAAGCTCAGGTCGATCATGGTGCTGCTCTCAGTGTGAGTCTAGAGGTGGATCATGATCATCGCTCGTACGGTTCTTCATGAAGTCCTGATCTTTACTGAATCAAGTCAGTGTCACAGTGATTTGTGCTTCAAACATTGTATACATGTATGTATTGAGAGGCCCTCCTTAGTGCTTTTGTTTTCCTTAAGCCAGGTTTTCCTCTGCAGCATGTTCTGTATTTGGTTCTGTTTTCTGTATGCAGTTTTTATTCTCTGGTTAAGTTGTACAGATATAATTTAAGTGTGTTTTGTCTGTATGCATGTGCTTCTTTAACTGTCGGTGTGTCAAAGATAATAATGTTAGTTCAATCCACCATGAAACATGTATCATATCCTATGAGAGTGCAGAACAGCAGGTTATGGCAGCTACTTTCACTCAAACGCAAAGATTGTGTGTGCTCTGCCTCTCACTGACCCCCCCTGCCTCTCACTGACCCCCCCCTGCCTCTCACTGACCCCCCCCTGCCTCTCACTGACCCCCCCCTGCCTCTCACTGACCCCCCCCTGCCTCTCACTGACCCCCCCTGCCTCTCACTGACCCCCCCTGCCTCTCACTAACCCCCCCTGCCTCTCACTGACCCCCCCTGCCTCTCACTGACCCCCCCCCTGCCTCTCACTAACCCCCCCTGCCTCTCACTGACCCCCCCTGCCTCTCACTGACCCCCCCTGCCTCTCACTAACCCCCCCTGCCTCTCACTGACCCCCCCTGCCTCTCACTGACCCCCCCTGCCTCTCACTGACCCCCCCTGCCTCTCACTAACCCCCCCTGCCTCTCACTGACCCCCCCTGCCTCTCACTGACCCCCCTGCCTCTCACTGACCCCCCCTGCCTCTCACTGACCCCCCCTGCCTCTCACTGACCCCCCTGCCTCTCACTGACCCCCCCTGCCTCTCACTGACCCCCCCTGCCTCTCACTGACCCCCCCTGCCTCTCACTGACCCCCCCTGCCTCTCACTGACCCCCCCTGCCTCTCACTGACCCCCCCTGCCTCTCACTGACCCCCCCTGCCTCTCACTGACCCCCCCTGCCTCTCACTGACCCCCTCTGCCTCTCACTGACCCCCCCCTGCCTCTCACTGACCCCCCCTGTCTCTCACTGACCCTCCTATCAGACACTACTATCACCTACTGTCTATCAGAGTGTCAGGGTTATAATACATACACACATTTGATTACATAACGAGAAATAACTGCATTGATCTTTAAGTTTATTAACTGTAGTCATGCCAACAGAAAAACAAAATCTCTTTTTTCATAATGATTTAGACTTTTTTTTTAAATCTTTACAAAGCTGCTGCTTTTCCTTCAGGAGCAAATCAGATGTGTCTGAGGAATGCCTGCGTGTTCTAACAATGCCCATACACCACCAGAGAGCTCTGAGGACATCTGATGGGAACTTGAGTGGAGGTTTATGTTGATAACCTGCACACTATTTGCTAAATACTCTCTTTGCTGAGTGAACATTTGTTCTTGTTCATTTGCTATAAGGACAATGGTAGTTATGTTATTGTAGCTTGGTTTTAGAAAAGGCCATGTTGTGGTTGGCTCACATTGTTCATTCTTGATCCGAGTTAGGAACGTTGTAATCGCCTCCTCTTCTCCATTACAAGGCTGCGTGAGGACTGCGCTGTAAGGAGGCTTGAATCAAATGCTCTTTTCCTGTGAGCTCATGCAGGTTTATGTGGGAGTTCTTCATTTTAAAAGAAGAATGTTGCATGTCCTGTTTCTCCAAAAGTCTATCTAGAAGACAGAGGATATATTTCCTTGTTGTTGTTTGATTTATTTCTCCATAACTTCCTTTAAGAAAACAAGATTTAACAAGCTAAAGTATTGCAAGTGCATTTGCTGAAAAGACTCAAAGCTGGACTGGTGTCACAAGCCTTACTTCTACCATTGACTTACACTGACTGAACACTAAGTCCAATCCAAGTGTTGAAAAGCAAAGACTAACAGCAGAGGACTGTGTAGCTGTATGACATGCACTTATGAATGTAAATATGGGTTAAAAGTAATGTAACTATGTTTTAAGCACTCCCTAATATGGGCAAAAGAAAATGCTCAGGTCGATGTTTTATAGTGTATTGTATATCCTTTAATCTAACTTCATCATCTAAAGAGAGAGCTGCAATTCATGTCATGTTAATGTGACCTAAAATAGGATTGTCCATCCACACACTGGTCATCTAACAGCATGTTTCTCTGCAACGGATATGACTTTGATTGGATTTAAAAGGCGGTCATGGATTTTAATTATTGCTATCAAACATATCTTTTCTGGTGGATTAAGAACTATGAAGAAGTAGAGTTTCGTTATAAAAAATCGACACCATATTCCTATGAGGAATGTGAACATGACTTAGCAGAGTGGCTCATAATATGTTAGTGGTTTAAGGATCTGCTACCAGATGACAATAACAAAGGTATAGATCTCCAGAGAGAAGTGCACTGAGTAACATCTTTATACATATTTCTGCCAAACTGCAGTAAGAGTGAAGGAACAACAACACACAGAGTGGATCCATGGCTCACTAAAAGACAGAAAGCAGTCAGCTCACCTCTGATAGGGCTCCTCGCTGCCGGAGAGCTCTCCTGAGACTGACCCTGAGGAGCTGTAGGGGGGGGGGACAGCAGGGTGAGGGGTGCAGCAGGGGGAGGAGCAGCAGGGTGGGGGGTGCAGCAGGGGGAGGAGCAGCAGGGTGGGGGGTGCAGCAGGGGGAGGAGCAGCACCTTCTGCAGCTTGCATGTTCACTGAAGACACACACTACTCTACAGTGCTGTTATTTCACCTGTTGGTAAGGCAGGGCAAGTTTATTTATATAGCACCTGTCAACACAAGGCAATTCAAAGTGCTTTACAAAAATGAAAGACATTAAGAGCATTAAGAAATAGTGCAGTGGAAACACATTTAAAAACGGCATTTAAAAACAGTCATTAAATAGCAGAAATGCAATGTTGAAACTGATAAACTTCAGTTTTTTGGCAAATATTCACTCGTTTTTTACATTCCAAAAAGGCTGGCTGGGACAGGGGCATGTTACCAGTGTGTTGCATCACCTTCCCTCTAACAACACTCAATGAGGACACCAATTGTTGGAGCTTTGTAGGTGTAATGCTTTCCCATTCTTGCTTGATGTACGACTTCAGTTGCTCAGCAGTCCGGGTCTCTGTTGTCGTATTTTGTGCTTCATAATGCGCCCCACATTTTCAATGGAGACAGGTCTGGACTGCAGGCAGGCCGGTGTAGTACCCCCACTCTTTCACTACGAAGCCACGCTGTTCTAACACGTCCCTGAAAAATACGTCTCGTGGAGGGCAGCATATGTTGCTCCAGAACCTGTCTGTACCTTTCAGCATTAATGGGCACTAACACCCCCCCATACCATCACAGATGCTGGCTTTGAACTTTGTGCTGATAACAATCTGGATGGTCCTTTTCCTCTTTAGCCGAAGGACACGACGTCCATGATTTCCAAAAACAATTAGGAATGTGGACTCATCAGACCACAGCACACTTCTCCACTCTGTGTCAGTCCATCTCCGATGAGCTCGGCCCAGAGGAGCCGGCGGAGTTTCTGGGTGTCGTTGATATATGGCGTTGGATGGTAGAGTTTTAACCTTCACTTGTAGACGTAGTGACGAACTGTGTTCACTAACAATGGTGTTCCAAGTGTTCCTGAGCCCATGAGGTAATATCCTTTACAGGATGAGGTCGGTTTATAATGCAGTGCTGCCTGAGGGGTCGAAGGTCACAGGTTCAATGTTGGTTTTCGGCCTTGCCGCTTACGTGCAGGGATTTGCTCAGATTCTCTGAATCTTTTGAGGACATTATGGACGATGAAATCCCTAAATTCCTTGCAATTGCACGATGAGAAATGTTGTTCTTAAACTGTTGGACTGTTTGCTCACGCAGTTGTTCACAAAGTGGTGACCCTCGCCCACCCTTGCTTGTGAACGACTGAGCCTTTCGGGGATGCCCCTTGTATACCCAGTCATGCCTCACCTGTTTCCAGTTAATCTGTTCACCTGTGGAATGTTCCAAACTGGAGTTTTTTCAGCATTCCTCAACTTTCCCAGTCTTTTGTTGCCCCTGTCCCAGCTTTTTTGGAACGTGTTGCAGGCATCAAATTCAAAAGGAGTGAATATTTGCAAAAAAAACTCAAGTTTATCTGTTTGAACATGACATGTGTTGTCTTTGTACTGTATTCAATTGAATATAGGTCGAAAAGGATTTGCAAATCATTGTATTCTATTTTTATTTACGTTTTACACTACGTCCCAACCAGAGATGGGGTCGTTACTAAAAAAAAGTAATATATTACATATTACATATTACTTTAAAAAAAAAGTAATATATTACACTACTTGATTCCACTGTGCAAATGGGCAACATTTTCTCTACTATGAAGGATGCTACAAGCCTGTCCATCTCTGCTTTGGTTACCGGTAATTGTTGCTGCTTCGGAGTCGGCGACGGCGCACTCACAACATCCTCACTCTGGGTTCGGGGGTCCTTAGCTATTAGCTTCACCTTAGCATGTGTTCTTTGCAGGTGTTTGTTGAGGTTTGACGTGGTGTTTACAGCAGTGGATAACAGCTTCTGGCCTGGACACAGTTTGCACCTCACCGTCACATTCCTGTCTATTCTTCGGACGAACTCAAAATAATGGGCATACCTCCACCCCTCGAAAGTTATCGCTGACTCAGCCATGTTTATGCAGCACTGCAGGAGATGTGGACGTGCAAGTCGCGCAGATTACGTTCTGTAACACGTTACACCCAACTCTGGTCCCAACTTCATTGGAATTGGGGTTTGTATTATAGCCGAGGCTACTCTCTCCTTTATTGTTTTATATTCCATTAAAATCTATGAAAGAAATACAGCAACATGGTAAGATGTCTCGTGCAAAGGGAGTCATTTCAATGGTCACAATATCCACATATAATTACTACTTACAAAAACGACATAAGCTGGTATCTTTACATTTACAGGCAACTATAATAAATCAATCAATTCATACACTTATTAATTGTTGAATTAGCAATTCAAATGCTATATATGATTCTACATTAAAAGTAGAGTTTATAAATGAATAAATTATTCACTGAATAAAAAAATACTCTCTTTACTGTATTTGCACATGTAAGATTTTTTGTTCATTTCTGTTCGTATGTCACACCCGGAGGGCCAACACTCTCTCCGCCTTCAAAAAGTCTGTTCTCTTCTCTAATCGTCAACCCTTTTCCTCCACTTGGACTTTTTAATCTTATAGTAGTTATTTTCTGTCTGCTGGAATGGCGTGTATTGTAATTTTAATATATATTGGTGAAATAAAATATATGCCAATGTTTCCCTGCCCCATGGTGGTTAACAGTCTAGGAACTCAATTATTAACACATAAAGGAACACAAGACATAAACAGCAAAGAGCAATAAGAACACACCAGCAAAAAACCTGCTGCCCAAGTCATGTGCTACACCTTTCCACCAGAGGAGGGCAGGAGAGCTCCATCCTCACAGGTCCACTGCTCTTCTACACGCCTGATTGATTGACAGTTATACATATTACACAACAATTTCAAGAATTTACCATAACCAACCAAACCATCTAGTACTTACAATAATGATGAATAAAACAGGCATATCTCAGACAAAGACCTGCCAAAGTATTTGAGTGACAGGAGACACATTATCTGAAGGAAGTGTAACCGGTGTGGTTAAGCGGTCTCTGCGTTGTGTTGATAACCTGTTAAGCACCAAGCCTGTTTTTCATGTTTCAGGCTCGAAAATGACATGCCCAAAACAAATGACTACAACTTAATTCTAAAAGGGTTATATGAATAATTTCTTTTATCAAAGTTAGCAAGGTTACATCTGTGAGTTGGATGTAGAAGTGTCAGAATCAATATAGATTTTTCTCAGTCAGAATAAATTCAGATGGAACATGGTAAAAAAAGGTCAATTCTTACCACCGCCTAAAAAAAAACATTACTTATAGTGAAAACTACCCTTGAATGATGGGATGGTAGACTAAAAGCTTTAGGAATCCAAAGTACAACATATAAGTACCCTGTATCAAGATTGAGGCAAAACAAGTGACATTTGACCTTTTTAGAGAGGTTTAGCCAAAAACACTCCACCTCTGAGGTGATTTGGGTGGAAATTGTTTTTTTTTCATATCTCTGGAATCCATTAGTCGATTTTGATGGTTGACACCTCTTTCTGACCGTTAGAGCCAATAGAATCGAAGGGGGAGTCCCCCACACACACTCATTGTGAAACAAAAAGGTGTGGGCTTTGCGCATGTAATGTTGCATTAGAGTGAAGCTACACTCTAGCTCTGACATCTAGAAACGGAAAAGCATGGATTATCCGTCTGTTTACTCATGGATTATCAGAAATCATTTCAAAGGGACACAGACACATTGGATTAACCTATGGATTAACTTCAGCAGCGTTTTTATCGTTTTGATGCCATTAAAGACCACTTTGGAGAGACTACAGAGCCAAGGTAAAAATGTTAGCATTTTTAGCTACCTAGCGTCACCTGTTTTGATGTCTGTTTTTGCTTATAACGTCGCCATTTCGTATAATTCAGTGATAATGAGGGTACCCATCGATTCTGTGTCACCTCACGATGTGAAACGATGTCATGGATGTGGAGAAAATATAAATAATAAGGTTTTGTGAGTGATTTTCAGTGCAGTAAGGTGTTAGCATTTTTCGCTCGTTGCTAATTCAGAGGCTCAGTGTTAGCATTGTGGGTTTTCTTTTTAAAAAATAAATAAATGATCAGTTAGATGAGTTTCTTCCCGTTACATGGATATAAAACATTGATAGTTTATTAAATATTAAGATGCCCTCAGACACTGTTTCCTCAGATGACGCGTTTTTCCCCCGGTATCGGGGGGAAGGTGCTTAACAGGATAATGGACGAGACCCGAGCGAGCGTAAAGTTGAGACGATCTCTGTTTAATGACTGATAACAGATAAAACGATCAGTTTTACATCAATTTCCCTCACAGTGACTCCTCTCACGTGGAACATTTTACGAAAAGGGAAGAGGAAACGTGAGGGACACAATATATAGGGGGGAAAGTCCTCACAACAATAAACTCCTGAGCACAGCGACCACACTTCAGAGGTTCCGCCCACTGATCTCCGACCTTGCCAGGTGTTTAACATTCAATAAAATGAAGAACACAGAATAAAACAATATAAAACACAGAATTTGTGTGATTATACAAAATTAAATTAAATAAACTCTGTTAGACTCTCCGCCCTAGAATTACACAAAATTCTGAGCACCAAAACAATCCACACATACAACACATCGGCCATGAAATACACAAACAAAGTGTATGGAATCAGCAATATAAGCTTCCTACTGAAAGGATAAGAGAATCAGAGCATTACCCGGCGCCTAGCAATAACACATGACACCCTCTAGACCAGGGGTTCCCAACCCCCGGTCCGCGGACCGGTACCGGGCCGCGGAGGTGTTACTGCCGGGCCGCGAAATAGCTGTGAGTTTATCGTAATATTTGCAGAATTATAAATATATAAAAATATTTTATCATAATATTTTTTTTCAAAAAGTGTTTAATTTTCGCACCTATGCCACC